CTTATTTACCTTGTGTTGCCGGTTCACAACTGATTTGCCGTTAGGACATCAAGCAAGGTGATTTTGGGTTCAAATATTGACTTCATCTAGATGAGTGAAAAAGAAATGAAAGCAGCTAAATCCAAGCCCTACATCTCTTTTAAATTTGAAGCCGTTGATGTGCAGTCAGTTGTGTATGCAAATATGCAAATTACATATATGTTGAATTACATAGTTATGTTTACTGATATATATATATATATATATGCAGAAATACCAGGCATCTTATTTTTACAAATATTTAGTGGGGGGAAAAAACACAGTTAAGATCAGTAAATGTACTGAACTCACATCTCACCCAGGGTGCGTCCAACACTTTGTGCTGCATGGGATAGGCTCCAAATCCACTATTACCCTATACCAGATGTAAAGAAAATGAATAAGAACATAAAATCATTAAAGAATCCCCAAATTATGTAAATAATAGTATGACACTACACCTGTGATTAATATACAGGTGCACTAACAATAAAGCAGTAATAATGGATGGTGGTGCTGGGTGTTGAAGCGTAACGTATATGTGCCGCAACAACGCCATCTGGTGGAATGTAGATTGCAACAAGTGCTTTCCCTTCATATTCCGTTCTACTTTTCCTCTTCTGATTGTCCCCTAATCTACAATGCATGGCATACCAGTGATAATACTTTAATACCATTTCAGTCATATTAATTAGGCTGACAGTGGACGTGGCTCAGAAGTCCTCGTGGTTCTTATCCCAAGTCCCCTGAAGAGCAGGTACATTCGTGTGAACATTTGGATGGGGAGGCAAAATTTGACATTTCAACCTGCTGCAGATAAAAATGATCCTGATAGTACGTGACCCATTCTGCTTGCTGCCTTTGCACTTGCAATATAGTGTTAATGTAGTACTCTTTGTGCACAAATGGCTAAGAAAATACGTTACTAGTCCAGATGGAACTTGATGATAAAGTTATGGATAACATTTGTTTCTACTTGGAGTATTAAAGATCCTGGTGATAAGTTTATGACATCCAAAAAATGTGCATCTGAATTGCTTGGGGTGACTTAGTTGGAAGCAATTGCTGTTTTCAAGCCATCAGTTGGATAGTTTGCAGTATACAGGCAGCATTGGTAGTGATCCAGTTTGGGTCCTGATTACTGCTGGTGCAGTAGAGTATAATCATTCTATTAGCTATCACTATTATTAATTGTATGACATTTGTTGTGTGACATTTTTTATATTTTTATTACTCTACTTTAATTTTGTAATGTAGTGAATTACTTGTCACACTAGGACCAGTTCTGCATTAGTTTTATGTGACGTCAGCGCCCTCGTGTGGAGCCCATATGGATTTGAGGAGTGTTCTCTAAATCTCAGTACCAGTCTGCTGCATACTGTCAAAGGGGTAGTTTGATCCGTACTGAGTTCCGTTAAATACTTATTGAAATGTGATTCAAGTGTAAACTATTTCTGTAAGGTTCTGTTATTTTTAGTGACGGACAGATGAAGGCTCTTAGGTAGCGCCCCTTCATCTGGTTGATTTATCATGTGTCAGTCCGCTATGTGCATTAAAAGCCTATGATCGCTAGGTGTGTTCATTTATGAATATTATAATAATAATAATAATAATCAATACTTTATTGATCTTTACACCTCCCTCAACTTGCTCTTTTTTTTGTAGGGTAAGTTGTCTGTGAAGGGCAGACAACTGTAGTGGTTAAGGGTAGTTAAGGCCCTTGCAGATGTGCTGAGGCCTGAGACTGGGTTTGAAATGGTGACCTTCTGATTACAGGCACACAGGCTTAGCCCAGTGAGGCACACACTGCCCCCCCCCATTTAACAACACCCATTAAAATACTGCAATAGGTATGTCATTTGTCAATATTGTATTACATTGTACCAGTAAATAATGAGTCAGAATAGAATAGAATAGAATAGATCTTTATTGCCCAACCATGGCTGGAAATTTGCCTTTGGTCTAACACTATAAAGTATTAAAATAAAGTTGACAAACAGAAAAAAGTTGAAACCATTGAACAGTCTTGCAGTATTATCGTAGCACAGTAGAATCCGCTTATAGTGATCACTATAAGCATTTTTTCCCTTTTTCTTTATGTCTCAGGGCAGATTACTATCTAATTGACATTTGCATATTTATTCCATGAATATAAGGTTTTAGAATGGACAGCTTCACTATTTACAGTACAGCTGTTTCATACGCATTTCAAATTACAGTACTGTGCAAATTAAATTACTGAACTATGTATAATTCAAAAACGCTGTAAAAAAAGCAAAAGGGCGCTCTGACCTTTAAACAATCTACTTAATAATCTGTTAGAAATACATATTTGTGAAATCTTATGAATAACATAAAAGCTCATTATTTCTATCTTCCTAATTTTTCTTAACATGGTGGACGAAAACAATTTTACTTTCCTACTAATGCAAAAAATGGTTTGGTCTGCTCTTTTATAAGCTTTGAACTGCTCATTTGTATGTCGAGGCATGGCGTCGATTAACTTGGTCGGAGTGGACACCCTGATCCCAGTTTGTGAACTAGGCAGGCTACCACTCAGAAGTACGAGAAACGGAGGGGCCGTGGTGGGATTGATTTCAGGTCGCCACTCTGGAAGCCCGAGGTGGGGGAGAGTCTAAGAAATATCACAATATTTGTACAATATTAATGCAATTAGTAAAATCAGGCACAATATGAAATGCTACCAAAGCATTCATAACACTGAATATCTAGTGTCACCGGCATATGGTCCCATTTTTTAGGGCTGCATGGCACAATTGCGATATGTGCATATGTGAAATTAAAGTCAGGGTTTTAGCTAACGGGCATAATTTGACATAATTTGTTGTTTTTTTAGGTACTATCCGGGCGTTAATTTACGCCCACAATTTGATACGCAGATTAGCAGCACGCCTAAAATACAACCCCATCTCCATAAAGTAAAAACAATCAGCTCATATAAACCCGTATTTCACTGAAAATAGAACAAAGACAACATATCAAATGTTGAAACTGAGACATTTTATTGCTTTATGACAAATATACGCTCAATTTGAATGTGATGCCAGCAACACGGTTCAAAGAGGTTGGGAACAAAACAAAAGACTGGTAAAGCTGTGTAATGCTAAAACAAAACTCCTGGTGAATATATCACAACTGATTAGGTTAATTGGCAACAGGTCAGTAAGATGATTAGGCATAAATAGAGCCTCTCAGAGAGGCTGAGTCTCTGTGCAGTGAAGATGGGGTAGTGGTTCACCACTCTGAAAGACTGTGTGGGCAAATTAGTGCAGCAATTTTAAGAAGGATGTTCCTCAATGTAATATTGCAAAAATATTTCATCATCTACAATAAATTATACATGGTAATATCATTACGAGACTTATAACATAACACTAATTATTGTATTATTATCTTTATTTGTATTATTCCAAATGTGTTAACAATGGCAGTTGATGCTGAATGGTGCTTTTTTTTTGCTGGTGAAGGAGTGGAGGGAAGGAGAAACACACAATTTTTGTTGATGGGGGATGATGAAGGGGAGGTTCTCCTAGGGTGCCATGTAATCTAGAACCTTCACTGGCAGCATGCTCATAAGATTTATTGCCTTAGGAATAAACATTTGGTGTTTTTATTTTTTTAATAAATTGCTCTATTTGCCAGAGTTGTTCTAGGTCCTCTACCTGAAGGGAGTAACTGAACTTCAGAATGCAGAGGATGTGATCTGTGCATAATTGTCACTGCCTTCCTGTATCTTGCAGATTTCCCTGCGGGTCTTGTTACCCTAAACAGCCCATTTTTGTTGCGCAATGTTAAATGCCCCCTAACAAACAAATTTTATATATATATATATATATATATATATATATAGAGAGAGAGAGAGAGAGAGAGAGAGAGAATCATAATGGTTATTTAGGAAAGAACATGCTCTTGGAACAGGGTATTTATTAAAAGCTATAATTTAAAAACTGTATTTGCTCCGATACGCTGGGTTTCAGGCGACTGAATCTATGGCTCACAATTTCACCAGCCTTGGAGAAGATTCTCTCCATGGCACCTAACATGGTGTGCAGAGATACTGACACTGATGGGGATAGTGAGTCTTGTGTATGGGCCAAAAATAGTTAATCTAAACCTGTAATGTGTGGGTCTTTTAAATGCCTAGATATGAAGAAGAGATGTCAATTTCTCAAAATACCAGTAGCATACAATAAACTATGATCCCTGCAAAATGGCACTAGTTGTTGTAATGGACATTTGCTGCTGTGCGTCCATGTGGCTGTCATGCATGCCCCAGAGATTCATTGCCTGCAGATGAGCTGAGGGCCCAGCTGCGGCAGCTGGTACTGATTCCTGTACTTGTGCACGGATTAGTGTAGTACATTCTTTTGTCAATCTTTCCACTGATGCCAGAACTCTGCCTGCATTACAGAAAAATATTCTTTAAATCTTGGGTGCAGCAGCTTATCCAGAGCTGTCATCCTAAGACGGAGCAGTCACCCAATGGAGAACTTCTGTCAAGTTAGCTTTGACATTATTGGCCAGTTTGGCACCAAATGTCACGTTGGATGTTCACAGGCTATGGCTAAGATGTTTCAACATCTTCATAAACGGCATGATCCTGATGGCGTTTTTCCCTGACAGCTCCACAGTGGCTTGGTGGAATGGCTAGAGCACTCAGTCACTGGTCAGGTGTTTCAAACTCCTCAGCAGATAATGGAATAAGGTCAGTGTTAAGACTTGTGAGCACTGGTCCCAGTGGTTCCCTCTGGTCATGCAGTCTGTGCAGTATCTCAAAAGTGCTGTCAGCCTCCTGGATTAGCTTCAGCTGTGGCCTGCCCATGTCTGCTGCTACCTTATATGCTCCACAATTTTGTATGCACAAGTGCTGATGTTTTGCTCACGTGACAAAACGTGAAGCCCGCCCTCGTTTTCCTCCTCGGTCGCTAATTGGTCAACGTTAAAACGTCAGAATCTACACTGGACTTAAGGTTACTGTGTTAAATATCACAAGCTTGAAAAAATCGTAGCAAAGGCTGCAAAATACATTTTCTTCATTTGCCAAAAATGTCCCCATTGCATTCTCCGTAGTAGGCGGAACGCATATAAGTTACCCGGAAACATCCAGAGATATGGTGTTACCTATTGCAGTCACGAATTGTGGCATCTGGAACATTTGGTTTCACTTTAGATTAGCGGGCTGTATATTACTAAATTTAATTTTAATTTTGAAAGAAAGTTCCAGAAAATATGCCATTTCTAGTTAAACTAGCTGATATTCGAAGTTACCAAATCTGTACTGACATTGCAGCTTTTATCGAAATTCATTTTAATTTGTACCGAAGTAGCCCTGTTCCACAATTGTAATACACATATAAGCAGCAGTCAAATGGAGCCTTTGCTTTTGGATGCAACTCCGACATGCACGGTGATTTTCATTGTACTACAACACCTACCGCCTTTAAACAAAACGGCATCCGCCATATAAGTCATCGTGCTTTGATATATGGGTGTCCCTTCGCCGAACAAAATGCAGTCGATCGTGGAGATCAAAGGCGTGAAGTCGGGACACAGCTGTGGCTACTGCGGCCATCCCCGGGGAAAAGTGTCTTACGGTAAGTGGATCCCGCCAAACCCCGGAAAAGCCGGCTGATGTCGCCGGTCAGCGTGCTTCCCCACACACCATTACAGCGACTGTAACGTTTCCACGAACCGCCAAACTCAGAAGTTTAAACACGGTATGTTGCTGCTACAGTAGATAATATTAGTTAGAGAAGCTGTAAAGCAGTCACCATGTCAGCACATGACAAAATGTCAGCCTGTTACGTATATAGTCGCAGGTGCATGTAATTTACAATCTCCGATGTTGCATGTCTTTGGCAGACAGTATCTTTGAAATAACTATCCGCCTCAAAACACATAATTGCTTATATAGCTCTTGACATACTGACATATACTGTCTGTGCTGTAGTATTTATCCTCTGTCAAAATGCTGCTGCTGCTTCGCTTTACTAAATAATTGTTATTATTAATAATAGATATTGTGAATTAATTAATGATTGTGTTGTTGTTAGCTGCTGGATCCCCATTGTTTTCTAGTGTTGCTTCCCAGTTGCATATGCAGTATGTAGCACGGACAGGAGGAGGCAGGCTCATCTCCACCCCCGCTTTATTATCCGCCTCTTCCACATCGGCCTCTATGGTGCTTTCGCTTTAAAACACCGACGGCCAGTTCAGAAGGAATCCGGTTAAAGCATCAGACGGGGCGGAGATGGCAGCCGGCGGGTCGTACACCGTGGTGGAGTATTTCGGAGGAGAAGCAGGCTATCGGTGCGGATATTGTAAAAACGACGTCGGCAACTTTTCTCACGGTACGTGGCCGGCCGGTCTGCCGGCTCTGGGCCGCTCAGCCGCGGCCGGAGCTCCGGGGGCGCCTGGGGGTAGCGGAGCCAGCCGGCCGCCGGTTAGCGAGTATGCGCCAATATTTTTCAAATGCAGCGTTTATGATGACCGCTTCTAACATAATCGTTTCCTGTGAAATTGAACTTTAAAATATTCTTGCTATTTGTAGATATTTGCACGCCGCAGTCGAGTCTATCTAACCCCGGTCCATTCGGTCGTAGTCGAAAACGCACGATTTTAATTCTGTAAATATTGTTGTACTCAATCTACGTGTGTACCAATAGATATTCATACATATATTATTTTGATATTAATATTATATTTTTATGTTTCCATTTTGGTTTATAGATGCCTACTCAGTTTTATTTGTGGAAAGAGTACTTCACTGAACACTACTTATCTGAAGTTTAGTTTTTATTCTGTTTATTTTTGTTGGTTTTCACCTGGTTAAAGCGCTATTGGTATTTACTTATTTTAAAAGTTCTGACTGTCAACATCAATGAGTAGAAGTGTTGTATTTTCTATGGGGAACAAATTCAGTTTCATTACTCAGTGCTTGATATGGATTATGGACATTAATAGGTGACACTGAGTGATCGAGAGAGATGTAGATCTTTTGGAAATGACAGTAAAGATGTCGCATCTAGTCACACGGCATGTCACTCTGCATTCGCACATCGTCTGAACTTTTTATTTATTTGGCAGAAGGTTTTGTCCAAGCGTGACGTACAAGTGAGGCAGATAATACTTTGCAAACATACGGCTGTCCAGGAGCCAACTTCACAGACAAGTGCTAAGTACCGGAAGAGCAAACGAATTGTCATAGAAGGACCAAGAGCTATTTGGACACTGCTTAAGACCTTACAGTAGGAAAGTTGGCTGTATTGGATATTTTACACAGGGTGGACCAGGGTGTCTTAGCCGTCTTGTGATTTAAAGGTGAATGACATTGGAGGTCACTGCCATATTCGTGCCCTTTTTCTGGAGATCCTTTTTAAACTTTAATTGAATTCATCCAGGAAATTAAAATTCAATCCAGTTGCTTGCTTGTGTCAGATATATGGTCAGAAAAAATGAATAAGAATGCTGATACTAGCTTATGGAAATGAATTCTGCCATATTCACTTTATTAAATAAAATGTTTGTGTGGTGTTGAAGCCTCTACTTATTACCAGCTGTTGATCTTAATGTCCAAAATGGCTGCATTTCAGGAATTATTCGCCAGCTGTTGTCAGCTATGTCCTTAGGCCTTGTGCTCCCCATTTTTCCGATCTTTGTGAATCTGGCTATTCCATTTTTTGCTAAAAACTTTTCCAAAGCTGGAGAAGTTGTGTGACGTTAAAAACGAGCCAGTCGGTGAGATGTTACCAAAAGGGGGGAGGGGGGGACATAAATGTCCCAGCTGAATATAAGGTCATAAAACAGTGTCACTATTTACTTAATTTTATTGATGATTTCAAAATACAGTACAGTAATGCTTTTCAAATTAGTACTGAACAAATTAAATCAATGAACTCTATAATTCAAATACACTGTAATAGTGCAGTAATATACAGAAATATTCAATTCAGTCTTATTTATACAACGCATTTTTACAGTGTTACATTGTATCAAAGCACTTAGTGTAGCTTCGCTGCTGCATCTGTGACTCATTTTTTGGCGGTTTATTGTAAGCTTTGAGTCTATATTTGTCAAACGTCATGTTTTCTGTGGATGCCGCATTATCCTCTGGTAGCTAGCTAGAAGCAGACTGATTACCGCAAGGCAAAGCAGGACAATGAAAGTTTTAATAATAATAATAATAATGATAATAATAATAATAATAATAATAATCACCGTAGTTTTAATTTTCTCCATAAGTTGTTTAAAAGACCTAAAATGAACACTGTAAGCGGATTACTTTATTACTATAAGCAAATTATTTAAACAGTATTTGTACAGGAATGATTCTGTCCATGCTTTTTGAGCTGTATAAGCAGTTGATCACTATAACTGTCATCACTATAAGCAATTTCCACTGTAATAGCCAATGAATGGAGTATTATTACAACTCAGTAATGTTATGCAGCAATACAGTAGTCAGCTGAGAACCTGATTCTACTGAATGACCAGTTTATCCCATCAATGGATTTTTCTTTCCTAATGTCATGGGCATAATCCAGGATAATGCTAAGATCCATCGGCCTTGAATTGTCAGAGTGGTTCAGGGAGCATGAGGAATCGTTTTCACACATGAATTGGCCACCATAGAGTCTTGACCTTAACCCCATTGGAAGTCTTTGAGATGTGCTGAAGACTTTACAGAGTGGTTCAGCTCACCTATCATCAATTCAAGATCTGAATGAAATGAATGCAGATCAGCATGTTGAGGTTGCATAAGCACATGGAAACAATGCATTGATGGAAGGTGGTCCAATGAAATATTGACGTGCGCAGCATTTTTTTTGGCCCAGGCAGTGTATATAGCACTGTTTTAACCATGGTATTTTAACAGTGTTTTACAGACCTTTTGAAAGACGTCTTCTGACGTCCCCTAACCCCAAGCCACTGCAACCGCTGCAGGTACTTCCTGTTAAGCTGTCCTTAGATTGCTGTTACAAAACTAATTTTTTATTATAAAATGAACAGTAACACATGTAAATCACATTTTTTCTTTTTAAAGTTAGAGCAAACTGTATTTTGTAAATATTACACATTACACCTATTTTATTATCTTCCAGCACCATGTCATATAGCTATTTTGGTCCAATCAGGATCACGTGAACATGCATGCGGTAAGAGCTAGGCTAGCTCGAGATGGATAACCCTCTTTAGTGTTCCAAATTGTCGGTGATTAATAAACCTGTTGGGAGGGGAGGAAAGCGCCGTAGCTTTGACCCCCTCTCACCTTTACCTATGTGGAGGAAGCGCTGTCGCTTGCCACTCCACACATGCACTTCTGGGACTCAGGACTTAAAGAGACAGCACACTTCTTATCTTTTACTTGCGCAAGGGTGCCCACTCACTTAGATGCAACAGACAGTATCTGCGCCTCAGTTCAGTGTCACACCGGGCAGTCCCTTGGCTTCTTTATTTATACTTGGCGGGAGGGGCTTACATGGGGCGTAGTTTAAACTGTTAATGCTGCTAGTACCTTTACAGACAAAGGTTTATCAGGAAACGCTATACAACCCAGGGTAGGCCTCCTTGGCCATGTTGACAAGCCTATTCCCCACCCAGAGTTATAGTTCCTGTTCTCTCATCCCTCGGCGTCTAGGGACCACTTTGTTCTGCCCTGTCACTATACGCAGGGGCTGATACATATATATTACATAATGCTAACACACATACTTAATATGATAAAAGTAATACATTTTCCACTCTAACAAAACCCCATAATCGTTTTCCTTTTTCCAATTCAATGAAACGGGTATGAACTGAACCATGGCTCAAGAATCAAGGTCTGACCTGAACCCTGAATTTGAAGAATCATTACATCCCTACTATATTGTGCTTTCCTTGGCTGTAGGTGGGGGAATATGGGCTCTGACATGAGGGGGGAGGCTTTGACACACCCGCTTCCGTCGTCTGTCACCGTGGCATTGACACCCTTTTTGTCTAAAGACAGGTGTGCTTTTGGATAACTGTACAGTACCTGTGTAAATAAGCGTCATGGCGACACCAGTGATGTCACACATAGACTGTCCCCTAGCTGTTAAAGGCCTGCCTTGTTTGTTTTGGGTTGAGGTTCAGCTTTATTATGAGGAACATCATGGTGAGTGCAGCAGTGCTAGTGGGACTGTCGCTCAGGGACTGTCACCCAAGGGAGGTTAGGAGCATTGGTGCTCGCTTAAAACACAGAGCGGTCTGTCCTCTGTGTCGCTGGCTTGGTTCTCATGTGGAGCGTTCTGAAGTGGTTCCGAGATCCATGCCTTATATGGAATATTAACTTTTTAAAAATGAAAATCTCAGATTTCAGTCCTTGTGGGGAATCCCTGGTGGCGTGGGGCTTGGCAAGGGGGAGGGATGCACATGTGAGGGAAAGGGTGGGTTTGGGAGGGAGATATGGGGGGAGGGGGATGCAGTGTTAGGTCTGTGGTGGAGTACCCCCCCCCTCCCCCCGGTCCCATGAGTTGGACTTCATGTCATGTTTACGAAACCCTGGTTGCCAAATGAGCTGCCTGTGAGCAGGCCTCCGGCGCAGAGCGCTTAGAAATTGGCTCTAACCTCACAAATCGATTCAATTTCGATTCACAAGTGCCTGATTGGATTCAATCTTGATTCTGTTAAATTTATGTTTGACACATTCACTAATGTGATATGTTGTAACAACAGAAAAAGGCCCAGCCCTGTAGCCTTAAGTTTGCAGAAGAAAGGACCATAATTGTCTACCATTATATGATGAAAATGAAACTGTATTTAATAAACATGAAATTTACTGTTCTTACCCGTGAATACACCAAAATACTCTGTTCACACAGTTCTCTCTGCAGTTCTTGTACCCAGCTAGAAATAAATTATACCTGCAGACGTTTAGACACTTTCAGTTGCTTCAATGTTACCATGAAGTTTGAAATGAGAGACAGACCATAATCTCATAACTGACAGCAGGTCACATCCAATAATATCTGTTTAGCCTTTACCTCATTTGGTTTTATTTCAGTTTTGTTCAGCTTTTTATATGATGTTATGTCGCATCACCATAAGCAGTGTATTGAATATGACTGGTTTGAGAATAAAGCCCTACTTGACTTGACTTGTTTGCGTTCACGTGCTTGGAGTATGGCACTACCATGACTGACAATGCACCAAGATGGCGGCGTGAGGCGATTGTGCAATATTATTACAACCTGCCTGCTTTAGGTGAGAGAGAAGTAAAGCCACCTGTATGATAAGACGACCAATACAAGTAAAATTCAGTGGAAATATTTTCAAAGTCATGGCGAAAAGGCATAACTAGATTAAATAGATAATGAGGTCGATCTTGGAGTTTTGTGAGTTGATATTGAATCGTCAAAACCAGGATCGCAATTAATCATAAAATAGATTTTTTTCCCCCCACCCCCTAGAGATCCAACCCCAACACGATTGTGCTCACTATTTGGAAAGTGAAATGGGCGGGACTGTCTCACTCCTGGGAATATTGTGTATATTGGGGGTGGGGGTGGTGGAGGTCCCAATACGCCTGTCAGTCTATCTCCCCTCTCTTTCGGTCAGGAATGTGGGCTCATAGCATGACAGTGCAGGACTACCAGGACCTGATTGACCGTGGCTGGAGGAGGTAAGCTATGCCTGCAGCACCCTTCTTCCATCGCTCATTCTCTCTTCAGAGGTTTCTTGCTGTCTTGAGTGAATATGCACTCTGCAGTTGAAGAGTCTCTTTCTCGGCCGTTCACTTGTAGACATCCTTAAACACCATAAGCACTGAATCTCTCTTCTCCTCTTCGCAGAAGTGGGAAGTACGTCTACAAGCCGACCATGAATAAAACCTGCTGTCCTCAGTACACCATCAAGTAAGTTCTTTCTGTGGATGTCAGTGGTGCCTCAATGGGTGCAGATATCACCCTTCAACTCCCTGGTGTGTGTGTGTGCGTGTGTGTGTGTGTGTGTTCCCACAATACAACATGTTTTCTCTCAAAAGTTAGGGATAGGTTGGTGTAGCTCATCTAGCAGTGATGTCCTGAGCCAATATCGGAGATCAGAATCAGGGCTGATCGGGGTTTTTTTTTTTTTTTTTTTTTTAGATTGATCGGTACTGGGTACCACAGCCCGAACCAAAGCCTGATCTATTTAATTTCCTGTGTCCGCCCAGTTTACATTAGTTGTGCAGATTATAAGGTTCTGTCACACATAAAGGCTGAATTATTACTCTCACACTCAAGTGGCCCATGCTGTTGCCAGCATTTGTACCTGTGTGCTGGTGTGTCTGTGTTGCTGTGCGAATACACCGCCAAAAGCTTAGTTAGCTGAGCACAGTGTGTTTAAATTTTGCGAAAACTTTTTACTCTCTTACGGGAAACAAAACATAGCATTCTTTAGTTTTAATAAAAATTGTTCCATTTCAAGATTATCTAGTATATGTTAAAAAATCAATTCAAAATTGACTGCCGCTGCTTTTGCATGAACCGTTCGAGCCAGTCATAATCATTTTCAGCCTTGCTGTTTAAATCACTCATGGGTTTGTGATACATTTTTACCTCCTTCATCTTATAAATATCGCAGTATTTATTGCAAAAAATCACATTGCGATATCTGAAAATTTCCAGTATCATGTAGCCCTAGCATGAATGGCTGCAACTGTGATTTTTAACAGTGTGAATAGATGCAATTCAGTTTTTTTAACAGCGTAAATGGCTGCAGCCGTGGCAAAAATGGGCTTTAGTGAGCTTTAGTGTCCCACACAAAAATCCTCCCAGCTGGAAACAAACAAGACATTTGCGTAGGAGGAAGTGCAATGTTACCAAGCTGACCAATCACAGTTGTTGCGATCTGCATCTTTTGTGACGTGTAGTTCGACATCAGCGTCAGAAAGGAGCCGTGTTTCCGACGGGAAGTGACGTTTTTCATGACATTTTTATCCGAATTCCGACTCTGAGAGAGATAATCGAACACAGGATTACATTTCTGGGGAGATGCGTGTCAGGTCGCTGTGTAGGATTCACGGCACTGGCAAACCTATGACGGAGTTTCCAAGCAGAAGAAAAAAAACTTTCAACTGTTCAGCACATGGCTTGATACTATAAACTATCAGTGTCAGCCATGTGGAAATTCTTTCTATCAGAACCTCAAAATAGCCTGTCTGCTACCAGCAATGTTTGCAATGTCATCCTTTCATGAGAAGGTACAGTAGTAACAGCGAGTTGGTTAATACACTGAATCTAATGGGGCACTTGCAGAAACATAGGAAGGTAGAATACTGCGAAATCACAAGGCTTACTCAGACTTAAAATGCAGCAACATCTACTGTGTGTGTGTGTGTGTGTGTGTGTGTGTGTGTGTGTGTGTGTGTGTATACACACACAGTATTTTAAAAGATTGGATCAGGACTTGGAATCTGCGTATATAAATATTGAATTGATCGGATCTGGGTACCAAAAAAGTGCATTGGGACATTACTGGTAACTACTCCAGTTGAGGTTTGTGGGAACACAGCCCAGTACGCGTCGGAGTCTAAGCATCTCCAAAGATGTGCTGATTCTCCTGGCCTGTGGGGTAAACCTGGCCCTGATCTCAGGCTGTCAGCCCTGCATTTGAAGCACAGGCCACATGTCTGCTTCCCATTTTGTCAGACCTTAATGAGGTAAGTGGACCAGCTGCTCCTGGGTTTTCTCCGTTTTAACTACATTTGACCAGCCCTTGTTTGTGTCACCTGTTGTCTGTCCTGCTGTTCTCCTCCTTCGTGGCCTGGCAGTTACATGTGTATCCTGTCATAATGTGCTAATGTCCTCTTCTAATAGTTTTGGGCTACGTTCAGCCAGTTGTGACGCAGCTGTTCAGATTTGAATTGAGCTTGTGTGATGCCGTGTCTGTGCAGGTGCCATGCCTTAAACTTCCAGCCGTCTAAAACTCAGAAGAAGATCCTTAAGAAAATGACCAAGTTCCTGTCCGGCGGGGTGATGCCAGAAGGACCTTGTGATGGTGAGTTTGTGTATATGTGTCTGTGTAGGATAAGATGCACAATGTATCAGTGGTCATATCTGGTCAGCTGATATTCATTAAAAAATCAAGATATTGGTATTGGTCTGGCGTATCAGTTTTGGCTGATGTTATGTGGCAATATTTAAACTTAATCAAGTTACCTGGTTATCAGTACTGGTTAAAATTTCCACATTGCCAACATGTTTGTCTCCTCCCCCAGAAAAGAGGGGGGGGGGGAAACACATCAGTGCTCCACTGTTTGTACCAACTGGTTTTTGGAAAATTATGAAATAAGATGGAGGAAGTAAGACAAATGTCTTTTTTTTTAGTAAGTTACTGTTTGTTTTTCACACTAAAAGGGGAATAAACTGTTTCAGGGACAGAAAGGCCCATAATCCGTATTGACTAAAAAGGTGTAGGAAGTGAATTTCGGAGGTGGAGATAGTGAGAGGGTGGAGTGTGACGCAGGCCTATAGCTGGGTGACCGCTGTGCACGTCACAGACCCGGTCTGCAGGTGCATGGTGACTCGGGGGGGGAAACATGGTAAGGTAGCAGTGTGTGACGCACACTCCTGATGGCTGGGGGGAAGGTTCACCAAATGAGAAAAGCATAACCGATAATGTAGTTTAAATGGAGGGTTTTTTTATGTTGAAAGATTGGCTCTACATAACCAGGCAAATAACCTAAAGAAAGAGAATGGATCACAGAGCTTTGCAGGTGAACAATACAGAGTAACAGAAGACACAATGGGGGTGATACCTGCACAAAACATAATGTGATGTGAAAGTATCGAGGAGCTGATTGTCAAAAGATGGTTTGTAAGTGAGCCACCTGTACTGGGCGTTGGCACCTGATGATAACCAACGTGCAGAAAATACCTGTGATTTTCAGCCTTAAAAATATGTCTCTTGCACCTGCTCTGTTGATCGGCTTGGCTGTAGTGCAGTTAGCTGTCAGCCTTTGAACAATTATGGCATCGTCTTAGGGATAAATGCTTACGGCCAGATTTACTAAGCAGGGTAAATTTAGTTCAAATTACGGTCGCAGACGAGCACATCTGAGGAGGGTCCGGGTAATCTACAAACAACACAGATGCTGCTTGTACCTATATGACAAACAAAATATAAGCTGGAAGTGCTGGGCAGTATAATGGTTCATCTGGTATACTGGTTTTAATGTCCTGTGCGGTATAAATGATTTTGTCAAAGTAACACATATTTAAAAACATCCGCAAACATTTTATTGATGTTAACCAGTGTTTCCCAACCCAGTCCTCGGGGGAACCCTGGTCTGTCCACGTTTTTGCTCCCTCCCAGCTCCCAGCCAATCAGGAACACAGAATACCTGGTAAAGGTGCACTGGGAGCTGAGAGGAAGCAAAAACGTGGACTGTCCGGGGTTCCCCGAGGACTGGGTTGGGAGACACTGATGTAAACACTTGCTGCTTGGTAAAGTTCACCCTTACCTTGCAACTGCCTAAATCCTATACTGTGAAACAAATCTTTGGTCATACCACCCAGCACCAAGCTTAGGTGGACACTCGTGTAGACTCTGCCATCTCCTCCTAGCAGCAACTATCGCAGCCATATCAAGCGCAAAATACTGTAAGACCTGCTTTTTTTGGTGTTAAATAATGGCACAATTTGCAGAAAACTGCTTACCGCAAACTTTAGTGAATTACATTACGTGATTTATTTGAACGCTTTGAAATTAAACTTCTGCAAATGCTTGTGCAATACAGCCAATCGCATAATTAACTGTCAACACTTTTTCACTACTAACTCTCCGCTGCACATCTTTAGTAAATTCTACCCAATCCGATCCCAGTACTAGTTTGACGTCAAATGAGGTTTTGCGCGGCACAAACTATTTAGAACGATCTGGCCGTTAGTTCACTTTGGATATGCAGGATTCTCATTTGAACTAAGCTATGCATTCACTGCTGGTTATTCATTTTATATGTTATCATGTCTAAGGTGTTTTGTTTCGGAATAACTTTTCCGAGGTTGGTTGAGACGGCATACAGTGATAAGTGTGTGTCTTCTGTAGGTGAGCCCATGGACTCGCACTGTGGGGAGGCAGTGCCCCCTGCTGGCCCCAGTATGAACCGCACAGATGCAAAAATCCCAGTCATCGTGGGCACCTCTGGGAAGGAGGAGGAGGAGGCCCCCAAGAGAGCAGAGCCTGAAACGGCACCCCAGGAGCCTCCGTCCGTAGCACCTGGCCTGACTTTGTCAGCCACCCCCAAACCCGGTAAGGACCTATGGTTAAAATAAATAAATAAATAAATAAATAAATAAATAAATCGCCAAAATCACAGGACTGGGCTCAAACCTTCAGCTGCCCAGGCTTGTCTCACCTTAACCACTAACCTGGTCATGGCTCTGGTGGTTTATAGAAGTATCCAGTCAGCCTGGACCTTCAGAAGCTCAAAAAAATCCATCTTGATGTTCAGGTAGAAGCAGAGAATCAGGATCAGTAGCAATATTTCAGTAATTAAGGGGCATTTTATGTAGTACATGAGTATTACAACCCTGTACTGGAAAAGCTGGAATGTTGATTTATTTTGTTTCCATTTATTACCTCGGAAGTACAGCAGGGGGCAGCAGTCACCTAAAAATCAAGATGATGGAAACCTCTGTTATTGCGTGTTCCTCACCAGCCCTGTCATTTCCCACTGGAAAAGTCACCTTACCAACTCTGTTTGGCGTATTTAAACAAATCAATACAAACTGACATGACTTTTTTTTCTTTTCTTTGTTTTTTTTTGGATGTTAATGCACAAAGGTTTTATAGAAGCAAATTGTTTTCAAGTATAGCTGTGACTCTATGAGGGGAACAGCTAGTGATGATAAAGGTTAGACTGGCTTAAAGTGTGCAGATATGTGTAATAAATCAAATTAAAATCATTAAATGCACTTTAGGCTGAGATCCTCCTTTTGTAATTCATGTGGGAGGCGGAAAACTTGGCCATAAGAGAAACCGGCTGCCTCCCCAGAACAGAGCGAACGTTTGGTGATGCGCATGCTTTAAAAAAAAAAATTCATTCTTTTCTGCAAGTGTGTTCCTGCACTTGAGGGTGTAGTGTGGTTTATTATTCCTAACAGGTGGAGGGTGTTGACACACACACACACACACACACCCATCCACCTCAGTATCACCGCTTCCAAAAGGCGGCTAAGTGTGTAACCAGCTTCCGTTCCTCTGAGGAGCTTTTTCCGGGCCGACTGGCCGCTGGGTCCCGTTTCGCCCCTGCGGATGTAGCCTTGGAGGGGGGGGGGGACTGTCACTGAAATGAAGAGGCTGCTGTTTGCTGTCCGCCGGTCACTTATATTGCCGTTATAGATGTAGTTGTGACAGTTTGGCTGTCATTTGAAGGCCAGTCCTGGTGAAGGTTCCAGGTCACCTGCGATCATTTTGGCTGTTTAATGGAAAAAGGGGAGGGGGGGTCCACTGACGAGGATTGGGTGTAGAGCCTCCTATGCAGCCCAGTCCCCCCCCCCCCCCCCAAATGGCAGAGTGGGTGGTTTATGAGGTGTTTACTGCCAGAGTGGGTGGAGCTGAGCTTTGCTCACAGGAAAGAACCTGTCAGGTTTTATCTGCCCTTCCTCCTGGTGTGACAGTATTAAAAAAACAGCCAGTGCTTGGAGCGTGATGGAGATTGAAGACAGGATAGACCTGGGGGGTCGGGGGGAGGGGGGCTGCCGGCGGCTCGTTCCAGGAATCCTGAAACGGGCCAGGAAGTTGGAATGGCGCCGCGCCTTGGACCCATGCCTCACGACCCGGTGCCACTCGCAGGCTGTGTATATACTTGCTTTCCGGAAACTTCAGGGACTGACGCTGAAGAGTGTTAAGGTGGGGTGAGGAGCTAAAGGTGGGGGTTGAGAGGGGTGGGACTCCTGGCTCAGACACAATCCTGCCGCCTCCCCCCTCCCCCTGATCCCGCCTCCCCCTGATCCTGCCAGCCCTCTGCCTCTGTCTGATGACAGAAAACAGCAGCGTAGTTCCTCTTCAAGCTGAACCCCGGCCAGTCACCTGTGCTACTCAGCGCAGCTCCTCAGGCTTCTGCAGGCCAACACTGCCTTCCCGCCTCCACCTCTCAGGGGGCTGGACTGCTGTCTCTGCCCTTGACCTCTCACTCTCTCTCTGCTGGTCTTTGTCTGACGGCCATTTTTTCCACAGCTGGTTTGGTAAGGTTGCATGTAATGGGAAGCGAGATCTTTACTACCCAGTTGCTGGCATAAAAAGCCCCTTTACACCATACTCTGGGTCATATCGCCACCATGTGGATGAGTATCAGTCAGCAGTTACCTGTCTGTGTTTCTTTGTTTATTTACATTATATATAACAAATAATGATAATTTGGGGCTGTGTGTGTATTATTTATATATTAATGTATGTGCGTATTTATAATTATATATAAATACACACGTGTACAGACACACACACACACACACACACACACACAAATTGATCAGACCTAATTCGCAGACCAGTCAGTGTTTCCCTCCCCACCACCAAAAGCACCTACAGTGGGCACATGAGTGTCAGAACTGGACCATGAAGTAACGGAGGAAGGTGGCCTGGTCTTATGAGTTTTATGTGGTCTGTTACATCATGTGGACAGCCAGGTGCATGTGCACCATTTACCTCGGGAAGAGATGGAGGCAGGATGCACTATGGGAAGAAGGCAAAGAAACGGAGGGAGTGTGACGCTCTGGCCAATGTTCTGCTGGGAAACCTTGGGTCCTGGCATTCATGTGGATGTTACTTTGACACGAACCACCTACTTTAACATTGTTGCAGACCAAAAAAAAAATGTTTAGGAATGGTGCCTGAAAAAGTTTAAGGTATTGACTTGGCCTCAAAATTCCCCAGATCGCTGTGTTTGTGTTTGTGTGTTTGTGTTTGTCTCTCTCTCTCGAGTTGGCTGGGAACAGTTAAACGGGAATATTTTTGCAGCTTGCTCACAGATTGTAGATACTTTGTAAGCCAAAAACAGTGCAGTAAATGATTTGGGTCACACGATCATATATTAATATTAGAAATACATAATATTTCTTAGTATAAGTACATTTTATATCTTTAATGGTAGAATCTCACATTTCTCTCAATAACAAACTTTTCTGTGCCATTAGTTTTGTAGTGCTCCCACTTTGTATGGTAGTAACTTTGTAGACCAAGAGGTGCCTGAATTAGATGGTTGGTGATACTATTACCAAAATAATTCGATATGCGAAGTATACAGTACAGTTCTGTTTGTTTAGAATTTGGTAATAGACTTTTAGTGTTATTGTTCAGGCTAGCAGACTGTTATAGGTTGCACTTAGGAGGTTCAAGTATTTGCAAATTTTCATGTTTGCAGGGAACCCTCGCAAATGTGAAGCACTTACTGCATTTAATATACACGCACACTTTGTATACCCATGCATGTATGCATTCATGCTATTTTTAACAAGGATAATCTGTCCCGTGACCCTAACCAGGATGAACGGCTGGTGAATGGGTGGACTAATCAGTGTGGATCTCCCTCAGGTATGGGCGCAGATCCTAACCGACCCCCCTGTCGCAAGGCCAAAGACCTGCGGAAAGAGAGGCGGCTGCAGAAGCAGCATGGAGGGGGGGCTGCCTCGACAAGCCCCGTCCTCAAGTCAGCTCCCCTCCCGCCTCCCCAGGGGAAATCTCTGGAAGACTTCTTTTCTGATTCTCTCACTGAATCCGCACACAGGCTGGAGGTGAGCGAGCCTCATCCCGTTTGGTGCTGTGATGCCAGATGAAGGAGGCGTCCTTGCTGAAGTTTGTGACCCTTTTTGTTTGATTTTTATTGCCTGACTGGCCTGCTGTTAACTGCATTACCTTATCAAACAACAGGGAAGTCAAACCTGTGATGTCATAAGCATGAGACGCTTTCTTCAGCTGCTGACTATCCCTCCTCTGCCCCTGCTGATATCCCTTGAGGCACAGCACCTTGCTCAGTAAAATATTTTTTTGCATTAATTTGTATATTACAGCTTGTCATGACATTTAACACAATCAATTTCACGATGATGTTGGAAGCTCGTTGGTCAGATTTACAAATTGCTGGATTGGGTTGATTAGTTTAAGTCTGATTCCAACAAACAAAACTGGGTCTTCAGAGTAACATCATTACTGTAGTGTTCTTGTGCTATGAGTGCTGCAATGAACCAGGGGGCAGTGTGGCCACACATTTTCACTCAGTCCTGCAGGGCCCCTTCCTGGATTTCTCACTGCTTCTGTCCACTTTCCAGTTAAATGTATGTTCTGTTCTTCTGTCTGTCCCCCTTCGATAAAAAACACCTCTATTTCAAGAGCCCTTAAAGAACTAAAAATCTTAGTGAGAGCTGAACTCCTTCTCAGACCCGATTGTGTAATTTTGCCCTCTTTATGGATGTTTACTTAAAGTTGTTTTAGTGTCTTATTTTCCACTGGACTGGCATATAAGTATGTGATAAATTCCAGCTAGCATGAGGCGGGGGCTGCTGGAGTATGAAATGGCACCGATTTCAGCTCCCCAGTATGTGAAACAATATTGTTACAGTAGAGTTCTGGCTCCCAATTCAGCTTTAAGTTTATGAGCTTTCTTTGGACGCAAGTTCAGGAGATGCGAGAGCTCACGTAAATGCAGTCCACTTATTAATCCCCAGCCCCCCGCCCCTCGCACCAGCGTCCCACCAGGTTTCTGGGGTCAGGGCACTCCTGCTGCTCACCTGTACCAGTTCAGTTCGCCTCAGATTTCTAAGAACTTCAAAATTCAAAACGCATGTAGAAATGAAAATAAGTGGCGTGTGCTGGAATTTAATTGTTCCACATTATAATCTGTTATAAACGAAAAGGAGTTTGTCCTCTCAGCGTATTTTACTGGCAGAGTGTGTCAGCTGACTGCGTTGTCATGGCAGCAGACTGATGCTGACGTCCCTTTGTTGCCTTTTACTGGATGCTGCATGTCTCTAATAGTGTGAAGTCTGCTCTGTGTCTTCTGTGTCCCAGCAAAGAAGCAATAATGAAATTAACTGTTTTCCTCAGGTTTGTGGAATGCTGCATTTGAAGAGTCTTTATTTTTATTTATTTATTTTCTTTCTTTCTTTTAAACATACATGTGAGACAACCCCCCCCCCCCTCCACTAATCCCCTCCCTGCCTGTACGCTCTGAAGGTGAGGCTAGTGCGCTCCAGCCCTCCCAGCCTCCAGTTCAAAGACACTTTCGACGCGTCCTACCAGGTGTACAAGCTCTACCAGATGGCTGTGCACAAGGACCCCCCCGACAAACCCTCTGAGACACAGGTCAGGGGCAGGTGGGGGGTGGGGGGTGTTGGGGCAGCGGGGGGGGGGCGTGTACTGGAGGAAAAAAAGCAGTGTTTAGATTGAATAGACAACCAAGCATTGTTCTAGAACTTCTGAGTTCTCTTGTTACTTTTTTTTTTTTTCTTCAAAAACATCGTTCTGGAAGTTTCTCCCGTGAAGCGCTTTTATAGCTCTTATGTCGATTTGGACTCTAGAGCTCGTTGTCGTTTTGAGGTGGAAGTATGAGGATGCTGATGGACCCAGCCTGTGGACTAGGCTGTCAGAGTTGGAGGGGGGGGTGAAACAGGCTGGGTGTAAACGGTCCCCATCGCCATGGAAACCTGCCTTGCGTAAGCGCGCAGTGTTGGATGCAGTGCAATGCCCAGGTCAGGTCGGGTACTCTTGCAGGACATGTGTGTCGAATTCGCTTTTCTTTGTGGGGGCTGCTGACCTGGGACCAACATGAAAGAGGAAGAGCAGCACCTGTGCTTCCTGTGGCACCATCCATGTGTGTTTTGGAGGGCTACCTTGTACTGTTGCTCTGAGCTGTCTTTCTGCATCGCTCCCTCTCTGTCTCTCTGGGCGTTTCTCATTACCACAAACGCAAAGATACTTGTGTTCTTGGCGAGAGCGGTCCTGCTGACAAGCCTCCAAAGAAACATGGAACACAGTGCATTGTGGGATTGTGTTCGTTGGTGAGCATGCATCTGATGCATCCTTAGTATCTGGGATGGATTAAGAACAACATCCAGGCATTTTTACTGTCCCCTGTTCTGGTCTTGAAGCTGTACTTCGACATTGGAAGATGGTGTCAAATGAGTACTACCAAGTACGCATATTGATAAACACCCTCTGTCTGTCGGGCTGGGAGGAGGTAGCATTAGCCAGTTAGCCAGTTAGGTACTCCTAGGTCCAAACCTGTGCACTAGCCTCACTTTCAAGTTCCTTATTCCTTTTCTTTGCCATGTTAGTTTGTATGTCTGTACAGCTGGATGATGTCAGTAATCAAGCCTGGATTCCCCCCCCCCCCCCCTCCCATTACCTTTCCACCCCTGCTGTTCATCCCTTTCCCCCTCATCACCTCAATCCTCCATCTTATCACTCCTCTCCACCCCTCCCCGAAGGTGAGGCTAGTGCCTGTCAGTTTTGAGGATTCACAGTTCATTGCGTCCTACGACCAGTCGGCGGCGCTATATGCACAGTACCAGATGGCCATCCACGGAGACTCCCCCTTAGAGTGCGGAGAGAGTGAGGTACGGTACAGGACTCCGCCCCCCTCCCCCTTTATGACCTCACTGTTTCTCCCTGCCCCCGCCTTCTGGTAACGGGACCTGCCGTACTACCTCCGAGCACGGGTAATAAACATTTGACATTAAACAGGCCATCCGTTTACTGGATACCATGGTAACCAGCAGCAGGAATCCATTTTGGTAGTGTTGGTATTTGGCTGCATAACCTCTGCTGGGATGGGAGCTTTTTTTGAGGGTGGGCATGCAGGCCGGTGTGGGATTCCAGGGTTATGACAGCAGTTAGGATTTAGGTTCTCCTATGAAGCTCTGTCTGTCTCCGTCCGTCCGTCCGTCCATCCTGAAGTTCGCGTTGATAGTGTCACCGATCCGGTAATTTCTGAGCTCCGGTCCCAGCCAGGCATCCATCCCTGTAATGACGTCCCCTTACTTTCTGCCCGGGCCATGTTATTAAGTCATGCTCAAGCCGGCTGACCCCACAAAGACGGCTGTGAATTGGACCACTTTACTTAAGCCAAGTGACTCCCCCTCTGCCGCATTTAACCCTACTGGTGGAAGACTTATTACTCTGCTCCGTCATGTTAATGAAGTCCGTTCCGACAGTTTGGGTTCCGGGCCGACGAGAGTGACTGGTTGGTTTTTACGGCTGTGTGCTGAGGCAAATTCAAATTGAACCGCTTCGCTAGGGCGGGGCGATATCGCAAAATATTTTATCATGATGAATTTTTTTTCATATCAAACAATAGCTGTAATTTTCACCATGTATTTATTTCTTTATTTCAATTCTCCATTTTTTTTGTTGCTTAAATCTCTCTTGGAATTGCCCTGAAACAGATTCAGAACTTGGGAAAGAATGCAACAAATTGAATGGACTGCAAAACAGAAATCTGTATTTTTTTTTTCCTAAATAGATCATACAAAAATACACATTTTTGTCGTAGAGTGTGACACTAAAAATGCTGACAGTACGTTTTGTTGCTAGGACTGCATCGCTGTAACCTCCAGGAAAAGCTTTTGACTATGGCTGAGGGATACGCCCTAACACTATCACAATGTTTTCAGAGATTTCTCACAATATCAATATTTATCACAATATTCTAGCAGAATTCATATATAGAATATGACTGGTGGTTTTGAATTTTTCTGATGATGATGAACCAATTGTTTTGCAAGTTATGGAGCATGTGACCAGGTATAATAATGAATTATTCCAACTGCCTTCATGGATTCATGTAAAAATAGAAAAAAAATTAGGCTATATCAGAATATTCATGATATTCAAGCTGGTGACTGTATGAATGTTTATGATCACGATACGATATTTTATTGATGCATCACCCAGCCCTACTGTTAGCCCTCAATGTGCTTATATTTGTGCAAATTCCTGCGAATGGCTAAGCAGGGAGGTGTGTGATACTGGAGGGGCTGATTTTGGAATGAGGAATGGGGGGCTACTTTCTCACATCCCTAGATCAGTGTTTCCCAGCCCGGTTTTCAAGCACCCACGGACAGTCTATGTTTTTGCTCCGTCCCAACTCCCTACCTGAGCCGGTGCGGGAGCAAAAATGTAGATTGTCTTGCATTGAGCGCAAATGGACCATTTGTAGTTCCCCGAAGACCAGGATGGGAAACACTGCTCTAGATATTGGAGTTTTAAGCTCCTGTGTGTGCGTGTGTGATTCTGTGAGACTCTGAATATTCATGATCTTAGCTCTGGCAGTAGTTGGCAGCAGATCGCCACCCCTGAAGAACTCGCGTAGAGCCTGTGGCGTGAAACCTGGCATGGCGCAGCATCCCATCACTCAGTCACTGAAACGGGAGAGGTGGAGGTGTGTTTGGGTGGGGGCCGATGGATGGGGAGTCAGAGGTGAACAAGACGGCATCTCCAGTCATGGATGTTCTTCTGCGGCCGTCTGTACGCAAGGGCGTGCTCTTTGTTTGTTTCTCTTTCCTGAATGAGGAGAACGGATTTGTGTTTTCCAGGACAAAGACAAGCGTGTGTTTATGGCTTAACCACAGCGGATATGTTTACGTAGGGATATAGTCTGCATTGTCTTTGGCTGATTCAGGAGAGGGAGGGCGAGTGTATAGCTGGGGTTGCTGGCCGTTACCAATAACCTGCGAAAGACTTTTGTCCCGCGGACTGGAAAACTGGCCCAGGCTGCCAGCGGCATTGTGCCGGTCAAAATTCCCGGGCTCATAAAACCAAGAGGATTAATATGTAATAAACGCTGTTGGAGTCCCAGATTCCTTCTCAGTGCCCTAATACAGCCCCTATTAATAGATGTGTGTTTGCGCTTACTGCACCGGCCTTTCTGTTTTACTGCCTTGGATACCCCCATGCCCCTGCCCCTCGTCATGGCGGGGGGGGGGGGGTGCAAACGCCTACCTCGTAACCATGGGATTTCTGGTCCAACAGTGACTCCAGTTGCATGGATCGAAACGTTTAGCCACTTAGGTGCTGGCTGTGAAGTAGCATTTATATTAAACGCAAACTGGCGTGAGCCGTCAGGTGGCAGAGCAGGGTCTCCTGCCGTCCCCTGGCGTGCTGCATGGGCGTTGCTGTAGTTTAATGCTGTGTACACAGGTCTACATGTAAATCACACGATGATGTTGCTGTGCGATGTTGCTGTTGTACCTTTCTTAGGTTGCTCTGGATGAAAATAGGTGACTGAATATAATATAATAGGGTAAATGCTATTCAAGATAAACTAGACTTAAAACCCTAGTTGCATTGAGGAGTGGTACATGACAGACTCCACAAACAGACTTTGTGTTTTAGGCAAGTGTACTCTACTGCCCCCTTGAGGTAGCAGGAGGTTTTGAAGACTGGACTGAGCCCTAGTCTGCCAGTGTATGCTGTACGCGAATATAGGATGTGGTGAAGTAACTCGGGTGTTTTCATGCAGGGTTGTTCTCTGTTCTGCCATTTACTGCACAACTGGTATGTATTTAGTCTTGGGTTATATTGTGCTCTCCCAAGTGGCGCCCTCTAGAGGCTGCATGCATTAAGCGCAGCTCTCCAGACTATGCTTGTTTGTTGTTAAGTGCGAGGCTCTGAGTGCAGTAGGTAAACAGTGCCAGGCTCTGGGAGGCGTCCTGCGTTAGTAGGAAAAAACACCCTCATGCTTCTTTCTGGCTCCCTGGGTCTGGTTACCCAGCAGGCCTTTGGGGAGAGCTTGCCAAAGGCATTGGAGTGGTCTGGGGTTTGGGTTTGGGTCTGGGCCGGGCTTGTGCTGTAGACATCCCCTGCCCTGCCAAAGGACCCTGTCAGAGATGGGCCGGAGATGTGGCCCTCAGCCATGACACGCTCTCCAGAGGAAAGTGGGTCATGATGTCACCTCGTCCAGCCAGCGCTGGAGCCGCTGCCTCGGCCCGCGGAGTCAAGGCGCCTCGTGTGAGATTTCTTTCCACTGGCGCGTGCAGCCCGGGAATGTTTACTTTAGGAAGCGATTAACGTCAGGAAGCCATTAGCATCCCAGCCGCTCCTTTCTCCATGCTATCGCTCCTCCTCCTCTTCCTCAGCTCTGCGCCTCCGTCACTCTCCGTCTGCGGGAGTCACCTTCTGCCAGATGTTGGCCCAGGTGGGGGCGGAGGGGAGCGGGTATTTTTGAGGTGACCCTATGTGGTGTGGCCTGCAGTGTAAGTGAAAGTTTTTTGGCACTGTGGGTGCGTCTGTTGGAGTCCACCAGGTCTGCTCTCTCCACCGGGCCGCCTGGTCCTTCTGGCTCTTGGGCCGGATGTGTCCTTCGTCCTTGAGTAGATGAGGAACACTTCATCATTTATTTTTTCTGCTTGTCTGACTCATGCTTGCCACACTGCGAGGGGTACGGGGTAAGACGGTACTGCGAGCCATCATTAGGGGGCGCTTTCCCTCTTTGGTGGTTTCTGAGTCGCCAGTCTGCCCCCTGTCCTTGAGGTGACGCGGCCTGGCAGATGTCACAGCTTGGCAAAGGGTTTCCAGGTTGGAGAATGAGGTTCTGCTGTCGAACCCGGGGCTCGGCGTCTATTCGGTCTCAGACGCTGGTAAACCCTTTATCTGAAAGCCTTCAGACCCTCTGGTTTGAAATGTGGGGGTTGGTGTCGTGTCAGTTCTGCGACTCTTAGGTCTAGACTCAGAGCTCACTTTAAGTAACTGACGACTCTGTATGTAATACAGCTGTTTTACATGTTAATTCCCCCCCCCCTCCCCAACCTTAGCGTTTGCTCTGTGTTTGGTGTCTTGAGAACAGCTTAGTGTGAACTGTGAGAGTCATGCTAAACGCGTTGCAGTGTTTATGATGGCTCATCATGTTCCCCGGATGTCTCCTGTCGTGTTGCTAAGCTGTTACCCTGCTCCTGTTCCCTGACTGCCAGCCACGGGGTTTTATATACCGCCCTGCTGGCACCATGCCCGTGGTACACGACTGAGTGTGGACATCTGTCCCCAGGTTAGGTGATTTACCGTTCAGATATTAACCTTCTATGAACAGAGATGCTGTCCATTAAAATACAGGCACAGATGAGGGAGAATGTAATATTTCCCTGCAGGGGGCAGTAGCGAGATTCGTAATTTATGCACCTATTTGCAGTGTGTCAGGCTTCAGGAAGCAGAGAAAGCTTAACTGTAGGAGCCTCATTGTTGACTGCTGAGTCTGGGGGGCTCAGTTTCACTGCACCCCCCCCC